TAGTTTAACACGTCCGTATCATTTTTTTTTTTTTTTTTTTTTTTTTTTTTTTTGTCGAATGAATAATATCTATCGTATATCATTCAAAGACGAAACGAGATTGTATATAATAAGTACACGCTACATCGTACCAACCCCCATCTGATAAAGAAACTGTTTAAACGATTAAAAACACTTTTTCCCTATTCTAATTGAATATCCTTGAATTATCCTTTCCCTAGCTCTGATTGAGCTAGTTTAGAAATCGTTTACGAGTAGAAGATCAAGACGACGCGCAACTTCTCCCTTCGGAAGAATTTACAATTTTTCCTTATAATTATTTGGTTCTTCGTTGCGAGTCGCGAAATTTACAAAAATAATTGACGAAACCTGATTTATTTTACGTTGCTTGATCGATATGAGAACTTGCGTTTGCATTCTATTCTATCAAGAAATTTTATTCGTATTTCGACCAACACGTTGTACGTTTCGATCTTTCTATACGTGGTAGAAAATAGTTAAACGAATACCATAAATAATCACTTTAATATTTATATGGCAAAAAATTCGTACGATGGCGAATAAAAGAAGTTTCATTGACACGGTGTTTCGCACGTTTTCAATGAAATTTCTTCTTCAAAATAACAGATAGCTATACCAAAGTTATTTAGAATGAAGATGGAAGCGCGTAAGGGGTTTACATTCAAACAACGTTCTATATATTGACTTCTGGCTGAACTCTGTGAAAATACTTTCAGCCAGAGAAGACGTGTTTTTATGTTTAATCGTAAATTACGCTATTCGTTTCAAGAATTTCACGTCGCGGGTTTCACTACGTCTACGATACGCTTTATTACTCTATTCGTTTAAGTAGATAAGGATTTAATCGATAATCATCGAAATTCTTCAAATGGAACAATCAATGTAACAGAGTCTGGCCAGTACAAAGCAAAATTATCGCACCGCGTTATTGGAATCTTACTTTCGCTTTCCTCTTTCCTTTCTTATTTATTTTTTCTGTTTAGTTCCACATGCGTTTACTTATACTTCGACTTTATATGGCGATCCAGGGATATGATCGTCTCCCCATTTCACGATAACGATGTATTCTCCTCTTTCGCGAACCAAGTAGTTCACGTTGTAATTGTTGCGACCTACGTGCTTCATGGATACTTCGTCGCATGGACCTTTGGGTCCGTACACACCAATGTACAAGATATTGTTACCTACAAACAAGGAAAACACAGATGAATCAACGTTTTAAATTTCTTCGCCTTCTTATCAAAATCATGTTCGTCAAGATAATTTCTCGCAGTGTTGCATGAAGTTGTAACAAACTATGCCCTTTTAATATGCCTTTAAAATTGTTAAAACCGATATATATTGGGTTGACAACTAAGTGATTACGGATTTCGTCAACACCACCTAATAACAAAATCCGCAATCGCTTAGTTGCCAACCCAATAGATTACGTTTGTATGAATTAAGTAATAATTATCATTTTTCGATTCTAAATTCGAACATAGTCTATAGTCAACGATACTTAAGGATTGTATGAATAATATATTACCGGCATCGCCAGCGTTTACAGTAAACACGTTCTGTTTGCCAAGATATGCTTTCTTTAGACCCATTCCTTTGCTCGTCACCTTACTAGCATCTGACTTGAACAGAGGTAAAACTGGTCCGGCGTGCTTTGATTTGGAAATTTTTTGAACAGTTTCCACCACGATCGAACTGGTTTCTTGCGCGCCTCTTTCTGCCAGATCCGCACCTACAATGAAATTTGTTAGGCTGTTAACTTGGCATTGTACGTGACAATAGGATCTGGTTGATATACATTTAAACAATTGAAAATTAATCAATCACAGTATAAAATGAATTTTTCGCATTCCCGTTATTTAGTCTCATATCAAGAGATAAAATTTCCATTTTCTAGAAATGAACGCAGTAACTAGAACTCCTAAGTACATTAAATATCTGATGATTCATCAGACATTGCCTATTCATAGCACGTCCATGAAGGTATAATAATAGAATAGGCAAGTTCATTGGCGAGTTAAAATTTCGATAGAATAGAGCAAACGGTTAGAACGTAATATCAAAAGTATGATTCTCGTGAAACCTGTGTTTTTCCATCCTTCGGTTTCAAAGTATTACATTGTCAAATTATAAATGTCGTACGAATCAAAATTTCCAATCAAAAGAAACATCCTTCTTTTCTTTGCAATTCCACAAGTTTGTTCAATCTTCCTGCTGCTCTATTCCATCTTCTACTATAAACAATGACCTAACTCTTATTTGAACCAACTATTGTGTTTTATATTATTCTCATTACTAGCCAGAAACGTCTATTAGCTTTATGATTGAATCATCCGCGATCAATTTTTCTCTACCAAACATGGAGAGATTTCAGACTTTTGATCAATAGTATACAAGTACACCTAATCGTTCTCGGTATACTAACCGGTACAGGGAACCTTAAATGGCGAGCCAACGATGTGATATCCATCGTACTTGATGCTAATGTAGTAATCGCCAGGTACCAAAGGTGTGTATCTAACTTTGTAACCCTCTTCCACTTCTGTACAGTCCATCGCGACTTTGCTAGGGCCATCTACCGTTATGCACAGTACACCGCTTCCGGCGTTGCACGTATCAATGATAAAGTCTGTTTTCTGGCCAGTTTTAATTTCCTTTAGGCCATTTCCATAGGCATGTAACGCGGCTGGATCAGCATCCACTTTGCCAACTTTGATGCGGTACGGGCTACCCTGTATGTGCACCCCATTGAACTTCACATGGATATTATGGATACCATTTTCCCGAGGCATAAACCGCACCGAGTAAGTGTCAGCGTCGATGCCTTGAATGAAGCAATCGTCCTCGATACCACTGGGAGACACGATCTGTGGCAAAAGGAATATATTTCGTTACAGCGATCCAACATTTTTTTTAGAATATAATGAAGAATAGTAAGTTGACGATATTTCTAACGACGATACGTTAAATGATAAATTAATTTCTAGTAAAGAATTTTGAATACAGCAGCTATTCTTTCTGAATGGTTCACGGTATTGCTAGTGTATATTTTCAAAAATATTTTCTGATTTTTGGGGGAAAGTATCTAAAGATGAGATTCTGTTTCGTTCGTGTCAGGTTTCGAAGTTTGTGAGTAAACGTTGACAATTTCGTGATTTCGTAAACGTTGAAAGCTTTGTTTGCGGGTATTTAACATTTTCTACGATATCCGAAGAAAAAAAAAGAATAATTCGAGGAAATGTAGCAAGGTTAGGACCGTTTTCGAGGAATTTGATGAAGCTACGATCGAAAGGAAATATTTGGTCGCATGAATGGAAGACGCACGCAGAATATGCGATACGCGCATGCGGCACAAACCTACGCAATATGATGTGGCATCGTTGTTTCACAAGAGGAAGTTATTTAGAGCGCGCGATTTTCGCAAGGACTTTGTCGCCTAAAATGATGTAGGTTTCTAAGAAAAACGAAGGCCTTCAAACACCCCGGCTATGAAATTCCGCTTGTTTAGCTGAAAATTCAACGAGGAATCTGATGTTTATATTGCATCGTTTACGTAGCGATATCACTAGCGAGGTTTCATTTTTAAAGTAAATAAATCCCATGCTTTATGCGTAGTTTCGTTACGTCAGACGCGTACGCGGCATAATTTTAACGAATTCAAAATACAGAAGTATTATTTTTCCAGTCGCCGGGCATCTGTAAACGATACAGACCGTCGTTTATAAATATTTAAATAACCGTTAGTCTCCTACGAAACCCATAAATTAATCCGCATTTATTCGCATTCGCCATCTATATGCAGGTGTGCTAGTTACAATAAATAGTAACTAGAAGATAGTTCTAGATATAATCGATAGATGTAATCGATAGTCTTAAGATATTCTTTTGTTTTTATCCCTAGTCCGTGTAGGAAAGTGCAAGAAAGGTTATTCGGCTCGGAACTGTGTGACAGATTTATCCGAAGGATAAATAGCTATTGTGATCCTACCTCTAAATACAGAAATAACAACAGCATTATCAGGCAAATAATTAATTAATTGGAATTTTCTATTTGTCAACGAGTTTTGGAAATTATTCGTAAGAATTTGAAAGAAATTGTAAAAAAAGAAATTAATTCTAGCTATTACCAACGAAAAACATATTGCTCGTAAAGGTACGTGTCACAATGTGATTTAAACGGTATACAAATGGTATGGTACCTTCGCATCGAGTTCACCCTTGGCACCATTTTTGCGAACGAGGAAAATTGCTGGCTTGTCCGGTTGTACGCCGGATTCCGGAAATTGCGCCACTTCCAGCTTATGAGCGTCGCCCATCGCCGGTGATATGTAAAGTTTGTGCGGGGAATCGGGGATATGCTGATCGTTGAACTTTATTCCTACCCTGTATTCACCTGAAAAAAAAGAACAAGTTATTGCTTCGATTCGAATATACAGATTTTATTACAGAGTATCGTATTACAAGTTCGAATAACGTTTATCCGAATTATTTACGATACAATTACGGACGCTAGTATATTCGGCAAAACAGTATGATTAATACATTCTGGCACGATGTAAATCGACAGATTAATTCCTCTGTCACACCGTGTAGACTAACCATCGTCTTGGCTGTTATCGTCATTTCCCGTAAAGAGTATTTGCGTGGAAGCAGTGAAGGTGGCCATCGTTTTATGTCCACCGATATATTACAAATCCAAGATCGAAATGAATATTTTTATTCGAATGTGTTGCGAGTTCTAAAAAAAAAAAAAAAAAAAAAAAAAAAACAAAAAAGGGAAAAAAAAGGGAAAAAAAAAAAAAAAAAAAAAAAAAAAAAAAAAAAAAAGCAGCGACGGAAAGATACTGGGAAATAAAAATATCCAAAATTGCAATTACGATAGAAGGAGAATCGTGCGAGAGGGGAGATAAAAAACGAGAAGAGAAATTAGAATGTGACACCGAAATTGGAAAACGATGGGAAAGAGACAAAGGTGAGGGAAGATAACGAGATAACGAAAGCTTGACGACGAGAAGAAAAGAAAGCAAAGTGCGAACGCGAAGAAGGAGGATAAAACGAGGAGAGTGGAGAACCGAGCGCAGCTAAATCGCGAACCACTATTTTCCTCTGGCTGATTCTAACTTCTGATCTCGATTCGTCCACGCTTTCTCTCTTTCAGTTCTCCATCTCGCTCTTCTTCCGTCTCTTCCTCTCCTTCGATGCACACCATCCAAATATAACGGCCACGCTAATTCACGTCCAGCAGCCGTAGCCACCAAAATATGAATCCACCTTAGACGCAAATATAGACGAAGGTATTTCTGGATCAGCCGAGAACAGCCAATGAAGACTGGTGAGAGCCCTTGTCCACCGCTGCTTCAGAATGCGGTGAGTCCATTTTTATCGCTGTTCATTCATTCCGTTACGCATAATACATTAACGGTAGAAAATGTCGAATCTTTTTTTTTTTTTTTTTTTTTAATTGTCATCCCTATCCAACTTCTGCGACGATCTTGGTATTAATCGAAGAATAATTGTTTTTTCCCAGGTCGTTAAAACGTCGAACATCGTTAAAACGTTGCTTGTCTGGACAATTATATCGTTGATCGTGTCAAACAGATATTTTTCATTTTTTGATATTTTGTATTAATAATCGTATGCTTTCTTCGGATCTTCGATTGAAAATTAATAGATTCTGATCTTCGATTTTACTGTGACAAATTTTTGAAAAAAAGGATGCTCCGCCAAGGTAATGTAGAACTTTGAGCTGATCTTTTTTGAAATTCTTAAGTTTTATGAAGCACGTGGTAAATTGAAATTTTTAGCCAATCGTCTATCTTACTTTGAAACGTTCAAAGTTTACCGATGCTATGTAATACTTCTTCTTTGATTGCAATTTAGAATTTCTCTGCTATTTATATCATTCTTCCATCCACATATTTTCCGCGATATAACGAGAGCGAACATTATCGGGAAAATGTTACTCCGTTGTTTCTGTGGGTTTTTGTTACGCGCATAGAAACGTGAATCACGAATATGCATCGTTTAGTTACATATACATTGTTATACACGCATACGTGTGCATCTTCGTTCGATATGTAAACAACGTGACTAACGTTGCAAACTTGCTCCTCTTCGTCCACTTGTGTTATAAATTCTTTCTTTCTATAAAATTGTTTCTTTGCAAAAAATTCATCGCCAATGACTGAATCGAATATTAAACAATTTTTTAAATAAATAATGAATTACTTTACAATTAATTTTATTCCGTATACCGACAATCCGGATAAACAGCTCAAACGTCTCATTTACTTTCCCCTTGTTCTAGAAATAACCCAATTTCTGGTATTCTTGGTATGCAAGTTCACTGCTTTGTAACACATTGTATGTTTGCTTTCATTGTTAGCCTGGCAGCTCCATTGGACTATTGTCTTGATCTTGTGTAGTAAATTTAAGATGTGACTACTATATTGTAAAAAAAAAAAAACGCAGTAATTATGAAAGAAAATTACCAATTTTGGTTTTAGCCCAGTTGTAGATTATTCTCCTAAGATTTTGCCAGAAATCTATATCAATGGACATTTTGTTCAAAAATAATAAACTCTGGATATTAAGCATTGGATGATTCATGAACGAAAGTCGTAAACGCTTAAACGGTTTAATTAACAGGCATGTTTGCGTGTGGCTGACTCGATGACGATTTAGTACTTCAAATGAACAATATAACATTCGGGATGATTAACCAACTAAAATATGAATTATCGACGTTGGCAGGCATCCATGACTGAAGTGACAGTAAGTGGTAGACTGTTTTATGAACATTTATGTTGCAATTAGTGTACCATGAACCTCATTTTCCATCACTTAATAATGCTGTCAAGCTGACACCTGAGAATTCTATTGTTTCTTTATCCACTTCGTACACACCTTTCACTACCATAAATCTAATCTATCTTTTATTTTTCCGGATTCATATATACACATATTCCTGTACACACATGTAGATATTTTTCCTATAAAAATAAGAATATTTTAAACTGACAATACATCAAGAAGCACGTGGTACTGTCCACTGGCTTTTCTCCACCAAGAACATGTGAAATGCATCGATCATAAAATTTGAGATTGTGACACCTTGATCTGTTTCATAATTTCCTCTGTGATACTGGACCGTGGATTTCTATGCAAATTTACATTTTTATGAACACAGAATGAGATGGAACTTGGGTAGAAATTCGTTTCACCTATCAAATATCGCAACAAGTATTATTTTTTATATACATATTCTCGTCTAATATATGCACTGTATTTGCACTTTCAGGTGGCCCATAAATGCACAAACATCCGTAGTCTAATAACGCTGACGACAATAATAAAAAACGACTATAACTATTATATTAATTCTAATAGCAACTTACCAGGTTCGGAGACGACGTAGCTGACGTAACAGCTGCCGTCCTTTCGATCCTTGAAATCAATTTGAGCCTTGCTAGGTCCTTCCACGGACACGGCCAGAGTACCAGCTCCAGCCTCTCTGGTCCAAATATTAAATTCGCATGGTTCACCCTGTTCTCCTCTTTCCAAGCCAGGACCGCCAGCATGCACCCTGTGTGCTCCGCTGTCTCTGAACGGACCGACGGTAAATTGGAACGGTGATCCAGGGATGTGGATGTCCTTGTAGCGAACCGAAACCGTGTGCACTCCGAGCTCTTTCGGTACGAATGCGACTGCATAAAGGCCATCCTCGACTTCTTTGATCTCGGCATCCTCGGTTACGCCTCCTGGAGAGGTGACTGTTGCTGTTAGATCAAACGACGTGATGCCAGGTATCTTGAAGGTAATCTTGCACTGGCTGCCAACTTCCGTAATAGGCACGGCTTCCCTCTGTCTCTGGATCTTCTCCCTTTGACGATTACTACCTTCTCCAGTGACTTTTATCGTAAACGGCGAGCCTTCCACGTGATGATCGGCGAATTTCAAGTTTATTATGTAATAGCCAGGTTCTGTCGGCTTGTACGAGATGTTCAGAGTTCCGTCTTCGTTGTCTTTGCATTGAATCTCTGCTTTGCTTGGCCCTTCCACCGAGAGCGAGAGGCCACCGAAACCAGCGTTTCTCGTGTCGATGGAGAAATTGTTCTCCACGTGAGTTTTACCTTCTACCAAACCTGGTCCGGATACCTTTACCTTTTTCGCGTCGCCCACTTCACGGTCCTTCACGTCGATCTTGAAGGGTGAGTTCTGCACGTGCTTGCCCATCTTCTTCACCGCCACCGTATGAGGGCCGGCTTCTCGAGGGGTGAAGGAGACACACATGTTACCGTTTGGCAACATTTTTAGGAAACATGGCTCCTCGAGACCGCTCGGTGCCGTGATGGAAGCGTTCAGGGACTTCACGTCCGAATCTGTTATCTTGCCAGGCAATTGCACTTCGCTCGACGAACCCACCGAGATTTGGTTCCTCTTGCGACCTTCACCTGCAACAGATTCCAACAGAGATTTTATCGCAAACGTTTTTCCTAAACCGTACCACGTTACTTCTCTGCGATGGCTCTTTTTTTATTAATCCTCGATTGATTTTCATTTAATATTCTATTGATATTGTTTATCCAGCGCAGAGAAACATACTTATTCGTCGAAAGAGCTCAATCTTTATAAGCAACAGACAACTTCTTGTCACTCTGCCGTAATTAATTTCTCTCAAGAATTCTTCTTTTCATTTTCACTGTTCTTAAGCGTTTAATTTTTAATTCAAGCACTCTGATCTTGTATTTTTCGTTGCAGTTCGATAGAAACGAATATATAGTCGGAAGAAAGTTTTGGAGATGCGAGTAAAATAAATGGGAGCCACGTGTACCTGTGATTTTAGCGGAAAAAGGACTGCCTCGGATGTGTTTGCCGCCAAATATCACGCCGATTTTGTATTCTCCTGGATCGGTTGGTAAATACGAAACTGAAATTGTGCCGTCTTTGTTGTCGTGGCAGGAGATCGTTGCTTTGCCAGGTCCTTCAATGGATAGCGAAAGACCGCCAGGTCCGACGTCTTTTGTGGAAATGCTGAAGTTTCCTGGTTCGCCGCAAACACCGTATATCAAGCCTGGTCCGTACGCTGTCACATAGCCATTTGCTAAGGAATCCACGTGGAATCTGAATGGTGAACCTAATTCATAAGAAATATATCGTTTATTAAGATAACGAAGCTTCCACGTGCACTGAATCTGGCAAAAAGACCCTAACACCCTTTCTCGTGTTAGTTGTCAGTGTTGTGATTGGACTATATGCTACTTGAATAACTTTGTTTGTCATATTTCTCGGTTTTTACTTGAAAAATAACAAAAGTTTCTTTCTACTCTCTATACTCGTATGATAATACCATATATTCTATCCAAAAATGTCAAAAAGTACAGCTGGAGCAATAAATACTACTACTACTGCTATAAAATAGTGAAATATTTTTAAATAGAAGGATATAAATAACAGATGGTACACGTGTACCATAAAATGGAACAATCGATGGATTAACGCTAGAACTACCACACACGCCAATCAAATTGACTGGGTTTACAATTTTATTTTAAAATTCCTACTTCGTGTTATATTTTTTCCACAATGATGTAACGACTTTCGCAACGATAACCAAAAGAATTATGTAATGAATTTTATTTTGTTTTTTATGTATTGCAAATAATTTTGTATCAAGGCTACTTCTACCAACACCAGTCAAAATGACCGATACTTGTCAAAGCGTAAAAGGGTTCTGCAATCTGTTTATCGAACCCCAATTAACCAGTTTTCAACAACTTGCCACGCGTTTTTCAAATTTTTCCGTGTATCGTTTAATATGACGATATCGGATATCAGGAAAATTGCGGATCGATCGCTAGATCGCCAGATGCTAACGCTAGAAATTCCACAGCAATGAAAATGACTGGATCTACAATTTTAGAAATTTGTCAAGCCTCGTTTAAGGATCGTAGTCCCAGATGGACTGATAATACCGAAAATATAGTACATAAAATGAAATTGCTTCTGTAAGAAAGTAATCGATCAATAAATATAAAAATATTCTATTATTATGTATTTTTTAAAGACCAGTCATTTTCATTGACTTTGGTAGAAGGAGCTTCCTGTTAACTATCGGTAGTTCTAGCGTTAATGAAACAAATTGCTTGAAACGGCTTCTCGTATTCTGTTTTCCTCGAGCGTAAAAGGCATAGCCAATTCCTAGGAAAAGAAGTTGCAAAGGAGACAATTTTATTTCACATTTTCGATTATAACTTCTTTATAAAAATTGTTCTTAAAATGTACTTTGCTACATGTCATCTTAACGCAGCTACGTATTTTATTTTCTGAATAGAAATTTAATATTTCCACGAACCTTGAACATGTTCCCCGTTAAATTTCACTGCAAGTTCGTGTTGTCCCTCTTCTTTGGGATCGTATTTGATGGAAACTGTACCATCCCGATTATCTGTGATTATCGGTTTGTCCATGTTCCCGCTCGGCATCTTTACTTCCGCTGAAATGTAACAAAACAGCAGAGATTTAATAACGCAACGCGAAAATGTAAATTATCGGACGAGAAACGATATGCTCACAAACGATTCAACGTTCGTCAAAAATTCTATGTAAATATCTTTTACAAATAAGAGAAACATGTATTTACTTCGAAGCACGTTTTCATTTATTTACGCGTTCCTATCAGAAGATTATTAAATATCGTTTCT